CTCTTTCCTCTTTCACTTTCTTCTTTGCTTGACGTAACTTCATGATAAGATCAAATAACTCACGAGATGAATTGACAAATGTGACAGCCTGAAAATGATAGGACAGTGAAATTAAAGTCAAATTGTTTCATAATTGCTATTTGATTCGTGCAGACATCAGGTATCAAATTTTACATGCAAAAAAAGTTTTACATGTTTTAAAAAATTTTTAAAGAACTTTTACATGTACTGCATGTATGATCATGATAACGTACTATTGGTCTCTCAGCTTTGAAGCAGTAGAGTCTGAATCCGGTGTGGGACTCCTTAGTTTGAATGATAACTCCAAAGTAGCACTGATCCTCAGGATCATGAGTTACATAAGTAACCTTATCCACTGGGACACGAGTTACAGACTATAGTTATTAATAGTTATTAATAGTTATTAATAGTTATAAATATTTTAGTGGTGGGTAATACTGGCCAAAATGGATTCGAACTGATACTGATCAATATCAGTCTATATCGGGAGTATTGATACAGTTTCGATACAATATTTAGACCACACCTATGTAGTCACACCTCTTATTATTGACTGTTAATTCAATTTTTTCATGCACATGTATCCACGTGGGTGTAATTATACATCATTGTAGTATGATGCGTGGGCGGATCAAAGGCACCGCCAGTGCTACAACTTCCAATAACCGCACGGTAGGAAAATGTAGCACTGTGTGGAATATATAGTACTGCACAATATAATATGTATGGGCTTTCCTGTTAACCACAAGCTTTGATAGAGGCAAATAACAGCCTCAGACACTAGACATGTAACAATAATAATAGTGATAAATGAGATCTGATCGTCTTGCGCTGGCGACCTGCGCGACTTTTGAAATTTCCTTTGATCCGCCCACACACCACTAGAAACCAATCAAAGCACTGTTGATTCGTAGGTTACAGAAATTATTGCACTCGGGATGGTCTCGACGAAAATGTAGCACTCGGCTTCGCCTCATGCTACATTTTCCTCTCAACCGCACCCCTCGTGCAATAATTTCCGTAACCTACTCTCAACAGTGCTTTAACTAATACTTAACTTATTAAAATATTCTTTATTAATATTATTTTACCTCAATAAGTGGTGTGGACTGTGGTCAACATATCAATCCAAATTTCTTTAAAATTTCGATACCAATACGAATCGATACCGTAAAATGTCAGTTGTATCAATAAAATATCAATATATCGCCCACCACTGAAATATTAGAGGCCATGCTAGTACATGTACATGTACCTTTGATCTCTCATCATAAAGTGATACTCCTTTCAGGTTAAGACCTAAAACTGCTTTTGGCTTGTGAGCTCTCATATTCTTACTAGCCGTCTATAAAAGGAGAGAACCCGGGAAAACAATGAGCAACAACAACAGTAATGACTGATTCATGAAAATGTGATGATAGTTTTGCTCGATAGATATTAAACTAATCCCTCCCTCTCTCTCTTTCCTTACCCTCAGAGTAGGTAGGCAGTATCTAGCGGCTTCAGCATCACCACGTCTCCTGTTAACATTCTCATATCCGACATACTGCAAATTGAATAATTTAATTTAATCTCCTACCCGTACAGTGGAGTGAAAACTCCCCTTCACTGGTTGATAGTCTATAGATAACAAGAGGTAACAGTAACTGAATGATACACTAATAGTAACAACACACGAGTCATAATCAAGTATAAACAAAATACTGACCTGGTGCTTCGGCTGCCATTTTGTTTGCAGATAACGCCCTTTTATGACGTCATACTTAAAATTTTGGTTTTAAAATTAATTTTAAAGAATTAAAAATAGCCTATCAAAAAATTTGTAGCAACAACAAGAACAATAATAATAAGAATAAGAATATCTCAATAACTAATAAACAGTGTCATTTAGTTCAGTTATAATATCATTCATTGTTGGACGGTGTCTATACTCAACTATCAGGCAGCGTTTAACAAGAGACCTAAACGAGGCTCTTCTAATACCATCAATAAGACCTACTCTCTCTTCTGGTAGAGGAATACGTCGTGTTATCATCTCTAGAAGGAGGACACCATAACTGAACACATCCATTGAAGGAGAGTGTTCCCTTGGATTCCCTGCTTCAGGTGCTGAATAGACAGGATTACCAGGATTAGTGGTCCTGCCAATCAGAGGCTGAAGATTAGCTGATCCATAATCAGATACTTTAGCCCTCCATGTTCCTCCCATTATTTGAAGGAGTACATTAGCACTGCTGACATCTCTATGTAGTATAGGATGAGGCTTGAAGAGGTGAAGGTAATTGAGACCACAGGCTACATCTAAACTGATGCTCAGTATGGCAGGATAGGCCACTCCTCCACTCTCTAATTCCTTTCTTAGGCTCGTTGGCATTAGCTCTGTCAGGATCATTGGATTACCCTCTGTAGTTGCTCCTATGAACTGAAGGAGGTTAGGATGACGTATTTTAGAAGCAATATTCATTTCGCGAGAGAACAGTGACACGTTATATTCTGATATGATGGTCTCGTGAAGTACCTTTGCAGCAACTTCCAGTCCATGGAAATGAGCTACTCTGACCTCTCCCCATCCTCCTCTCCCTAGAATCCTTTCTGTCATTCTAATATCATTTCTGCTAACTACCCAGGAAGACTCTCTATCTTGTCTATCTCTCTCTCTTAGTTGCTGCTCTAGGCCTCTCTCTCTTTCTTGACTTTCCTGAAGCTGTCGTTGAAGATCCTGTTCTCTTTGCTGGCCACCTTCTACTTGCCTTTGAAGCTGTCGCTCTCTTTCTTGAGATTCTCTCTCTCTTGATTGAAGCTGCTGCTGTGCTTGTTGAAGTTGTCTCTCCTTTTCTTGAAACTGACGTTGGCTTTGTTGAAGCTGTCTTTGAAAATCCTGAACTTGTTCTCTGGCCTGTTGAATTTCCCTCTCTCTTTCTTGTCCTTGTTGCTGTGCTTGTTGAAGTTGTCGTTCTCTTCCTTGAAGTTGTTGCTGTAGTCTGTTTCTAACTTGTTCCTTTTCTCTTCTCCCCTCCTGTAGTTCCCTTTCCCTTTCTTGTAGTACACGTGTCAGACGGTCTATTTCTCTTCTATCCTCAGGTTGAACAGGTTGAGATGCTTCCCATTCTCTTCTCCTTTCTTGTAGTTTCTCTTGATACTGGTCCAGAGGTATTATACTAGTAGACCAATCATTAATATATTTCTTTACGAAAAGGCCCGAAACTTTAGTTCCTTCAAGGACTAAAGAAAATAAAGTAATATTGACAATTAAACATGTTATTAAACAAAAAATACAGAATTACTAGTATATCAATAATCAATGACAGCTTGACAAGTACATATATACATGTACATCTTTAATATGATATCAGTCAGTACTGTATTAGTGTAAAGTATTGATGTATTTTTTTAATTATTATAAAACAAATCTGATGAATTAATATCCTATATCAAAAGGCTATACTAGCTGTTATTTTATAATTATTATATTCAATATGTACAAATTGTGTATATTCAATACATTTGTATTTACATGTACTCACTGAGTTCAATAACTGCTGTATCTTTGTATGATGAGCTTCCCCCAAACACAATTATCCAGTTTGTGGTTGGAGTCACACTCCAAACTGAGAGAGAATGAAACCATCTCTTAGTGACATTGTCTGGTAAATCTACCTACATTATAAAGGAGAATTATATTAAATAAAATTTGTAAAATTCATTGTCACATACTATACTATGTCCCAACTGAGTTTGGACCAAGAAAAACTGGAATAACTTTTTATAGGAATGTGGGATAAAAATGAGACTTTCACAGGTTCTTAGTCGCCCAATGCCGCTTCAGGATCTCAGGTCTTGGGTCTCTCAGTCCTTGGGAACCCTGAGAACCGGGTTCTCCCTATAAACCCAATGGCATACCAAAGCTAACCGCAATGACGTTCTATGATGTCATAGTTTACACAAGGACATGTGGTCGAGCACCCAAACTGATAATTCTCCTTTTAAAAAGCTAATAGAGCGAGATCTTCTGATAATGATGGCCTTTATGAAGATTGAAGACTAGGTGACTCCAGGAGCTATTGTACTGCTTATCAGGAAGAACAAGACTGTTTTAAGAGTGAAACAACACAGCCGAAATATGGCCATGTCTCTATGAATATCATTATAAGACGTCATTAGTGACGTAATACATTTTTTCAAATTCCAATGCAGCTGCTTCCACTTCCGGTCCATTCTCAGTTGGGACATAGTATATACATATACATGCATTAAAATATAATTCCACAATAGTTAATATACATGCAGAGTTGTAAGCTCCACCCAAAATGTCTAAACTACACCCCAATATGATACTGTAGAAGGAAATTTTGTAGGTAATTAAATTTAGCAAATTTGGCATATTTGCCAAAATAAAAATCCACCATTTTGCGCCATTATACGCATGCTCAATGGCATGTGGCTACAAATTCGTCAAAATTAAAATTTGCCAATCACCAAAATTTAGCAATTTGCAAAATTTAACTTCCTCTAAAATTTCCTACTATACAATAACATACTTACCAGTTCCTTCCATGATTTCTTGTTAATATCAAATATCCAAATATCATAAGTACCAGATCCACCCACCACTAGTAGGTGTGGTCCTGAGCTAGTGTTAATCAATACACTGGAATGACCACGTCTTTCCTTAGGCCATTGTACTGATCCTCTAGGATTAGATAACTTTGAACAATTCTAAAATAATAAAATAAAATTTAATTATCATAAACCACACCCACACACTCAGTGTTATGAATAATAATACACACATACAATACATTATTAATTAATAATTAATGTAATTATACTAATAATACACTCACCACTGATGTATCAATAAAATTAAGAATATATACATTGCTACTGTCTCCATTAGCAGTGTTACCTCCAAATAATATAGCACTGGAATTATTAATTGATGTTAAAGTGAAGTTGTGAATAGGAGGTGGTCTGTCTCCAGTGACAGTCGGTGATATCCATTGTCCTAAAAATATCAATAATAATAATTAGTGTGAATGGAATGCATTGGGTGGAGCAAACTAGTTGATATTTCTTTGATCATATTATCAAATAATTAGGAGTGACAACCATGAACAAACAAGCAAGCAATTCTCAATGCAACCAGTCTGAGTGGAGAACCACCAAATAACAATACTTCATTATATTAATATAAACTGTATGTGCTCTGACCTGTTGAGAGTTTATAGAAATTGATCTCATTAGTCTTACTACCACTGTACTGGGCACCAGGTTGTTTGGGTGTATTATTAAAAGATGGTCCATATCCTCCAATTACTATAAGATAGTCCTCACCGTTCACTTTTATTGCTATCATGTCACAGTGGTACTTCATCATAGGACCATGATGAGATGTAGTAGGAGAGAGTTCCTTCCAATTGAAGGTATCAACATTAAAACTGTATAAAATATCATGTAATATTTATGAGTAGCTATCATATTTACCTGTATAAACTATTATGATAACAGTCATCATGACGACACCATCCTCCGAAATAAAATATTTCCCTTCCAATGGCAGAAGCTGCATAGCCATTAACACCCAGTGGAGGGTTACCAGTGGTGGGTTTCTGCTCCCACCTACCAGTCCTTAGGTGACACACCTCCATCACAGAACACATTGATTTCTTCTTTTCATTATTATGTACTTTAGGAAGATAAGGCTGGCCCCCACCCCACATGTACAGGTGTCTCCTACCCGTACAGTGGAGTGTTCCCACCTCTCCGCTGGTTGATAGTCTATAGATAACAAGAGGTAACAGTAACTGAATGATACACTAATAGTAACAACATACGAGTCATAAACCCCGTTTACACGACAAACCGCTTCATTGTAAAGCGCATTGTAACTGGTTTAAGATTGTGTCCACACGTAATATAAACTTGTGGTTTAATCACAATGGACGTGTAAACGGAAGTGGTTTAGAAGGCGTTTTCTAACTAAAATGGTGGTCCAGAGTTGCTAAAGAAGAGAAGAAAAACCAAGAAAGATAGGAGCTAAATTAGAGATAACTATTGTAAAACTAGCACAATGCATGCCTTATTAACACGGGTAGCTATAGTTACAGCGTCTAGCTATAGTCACAAAAGCCTGATTTAAAATGGGGAAAGCATTGATTTTAGCTGTGCTTCTTAAGAAACACATTTTAGCAAAGAAACGTGCTGCTTTGGCTGAAAGGAGGAGAGTTAATAGGATTAAGAGATTCAGGTTGTTTGCTGCCAAGCAAGCCAGAGAGAGGATGCTGTTTGCTCTGATACTTACCACTGCATACAGTTACACAATAATGAAGCCTGGTAAAGTGCTTTGGTCCAAGGAGAGGAGTGGAGTTTGGTGGGATGAGATGGTCATGAATGTATTTTCTGAGAATGACTGGATTGAAAACTTTTGTGTAAGTCGCACTACGTTCATTTACTTGTGCAATGAAATACGAACTGAGATTCAGAAAGAAGATACAGTGATGAGAAAGGCGTG